CCCCAAAACCCCAAAACCCCAAAACCCCAAAACCCCAAAACCCCTGCAAGAAGTGATTTTATTGAATAAATAAGAAATGCAGAAAAAGATCATAGTCAGCCCAATCGTTCGGAAGAAGATCAACAAGAGCATTAGAGACACTCAAGATTATGTTGATTACAGTAATTTTTCAAATAAAAATGCTAGAAGTAAGCTTTTACTCCCTAATTGATTACTTTAGGTCCAGTCAAGAGGGCTTTTATAAGAAGAACCAAGCTGAATCATAGCAAGACTGAGAAGTCTTCCTCACACTTCCCTGAGATTAACAAGTTATCTTCTTCAGGATTCTTTTAAGAAGTATCTTGACAATAAGGCTAAATCCCGTCGAAAGAATCGTAGCACAGTCAAGAAGAGGGATATCTCTCTTGATTCTAAAGAGCAAGCTAGTGGTTATAATATCAGAAAGAAGACACCAGAGGTCAGACAGTCTTTTGGATACAAGACCAATAAAAATATTGTATCCAAGCTCAACATGTCTTTTGGTAATAATAAAACCTTCTGAAGGGTTGCCAGAATTAAAAACCGCTGACCCAGTACCAAAATTGACAGAATAAACGTTCTCACAAACATGAACTTAAAACTTAGCATTGAGAACAAAATGAGTAAGTTTGCTTATCCTGTCCAGACTTACAAATATAGTCTTCGAAAACTTAAAGAACCTTAACACTGAGATAAAGAAGTCATCGAAATAAACTGATACACTTGAACTATAGGTGAAGACTTAGATGTAATTTATAGACCAAAGATGGTGCAGAAGGTTAAAGAAAAGAACTTCTTTATTAATGTCAATAGGGGTTATCAAGATGAGAATGATCCTTATCGAGAATCAGAGAATTCAGAGTATCTTTTGACGAAAGCGGTGTGGCATGGAGCTGATTTTAGAACTCCTGCTGAGAAGAATAAGCAAAGGTATGGCATCGTGGGGGTTGTGGTAATTGGTATAGAAATTTGATAGATGAAATTGTCAGAAATGGGTTCAAAGAGTTTCAGAATATCAGAAAATCTAAGTCTAGGGGGAAAGCTGTTCTCAAGAATAGAGCCTGTCTAGAGGAAATGATCAATAGTGAGCCTAAGAATCCTAGCAAAGGTATGTTGAGCGAGTGATTAGATGTAGAAATAGTTAATGCAAGCATTGATTCCTTTGGAAATCCAGAGTTTGTCCGAATAAAAACACCAGCTCAAGAACCAAGTATGATAAAATTATCAAATTTAGATTATTACCAGCAAAGTAGTAACGATATAACGTCAGTTCTGGATGAAGATATTATGGTTCAGAGTGATGAGTGAATGCCACCAGGACTTACATTTACTCCTGATGTCATTGTATCAGACTACTCCCAAGAAATAGAAGGAATCAAAGACCATTCAAATCCTATATTTATGCCTCATCAAAAGAAAAAGAGTCGAGGATGATCGTTGGCTCACTTAGACACTCCATGCTTTGACTAGAAATAAACTAAAAAGTCAAATTTTAATAATAAAATAGGGGTTTTGGGGTTTTGGGGTTTTGGGGTTTTGGGG